TATGTATGTATGTATATGTATATGTAGATGTATATGTATATGTATATATGGCTCTTTGGTTATTCGGATTTTCTACCGCGTAAAATTGGAAGTATCTAGGCAACGTTTCGATTCATCATCTTCAGGCTTGTGTCTGAAGTTTCTGTGCTTCTCGCACAGAGCCGAAGACACAAGCCTGAAGATGATGAATGAGACTTCATCGAAACGTTGCCTAGATACTGCCAATCTTACGCAGAGCCGAAGACACAAGCCTGAAGATGATGAATGAGACTTCATCGAAACGTTGCCTAGATACTGCCAATCTTACGTGGGAGAAAACCTGAATAACCAAAGATCCACATACATATATATACATATACGTGTACATATACCTACCTATCTACCTACCTATCTATAACATAGATTAAATTTAAATAGATTAAATTATCATTTTGGCAAAATTCAAAAAGTTATTTTTCTGATTGGTGGGAAGTTTTCCTAAGAAAATCTATCGGGTGTCACAGACACACATCCTTTGGGTTTTAAGGAAAACAAGCAACACCGTGTTTTACCCAGAAACAAATATAGAGGTTTTAAAATTAACATTCTATAGGCTCTACTACATAGAACATAGAATAATAGCATTGGAAAGGATCTTGGATGTCTTCTGATCCAACTCCCTGCTCAAGCAGGAGACCCTATACTCTTTCAGATACATGATTGTCCAGTCTCTTTTTCAAAGTCTCCAGTAATGGAACACCAGGGGTGGGCTGCTGGGGGCTCTTCTGAGCCCCTAGCTAAGACTCTGCGTGGCTCAGAGATAAATACACAAGTATGCCCTACTTTTGAAACCTAAAATAATCTTCCATCTTGATTATTGTACTTAAGCCTGGCAATTATTCAACTAATAGAAGAGAATATTTCTGGCTCAGGGTTCGACTGTGGGATCCTTGCTTCCTGAGGTTGGTGGTTTTCTTGCAGACATTTCATTACCAAACTAGGTAGCGTCATCAGTGCTAGAAGGGAGTGGGGTTTGCAAACCCTACATCCTTCTATCACTATTTTATCTAGTTTGATAATGGATGATCTGCAAGAAAGGAAAGCTCAACCCCATTCCCTTCTAGCACTAATAATGTTAGTTGCATTGGTAATGAAATGTCTGCAAGAAAACCAGCAACCTGAGAAAATACTAAGGATGAACAATTATTCAACTGTTAAACATTCCTAAGAATGAATCTTTACAATGATTTTTAAATGAAGTAACACTAATTCAGAGAAAAACACTATCATAATATACAAAATTAAAAAATTCTCTGTTAAATGAACCATTGAACAGATTTTAAAGGACTTAAACTAAACGTCCACTAAATATTTTAAAGAACAGAAATTAATGTTTATAGATTATTGTGTCACAATCTCTAGGTAGAACTATAGCATTTTTTCTTCACAGTTTGTACAAATAACTATAAAACAGAGCCCCCAATAACCTCAGAAGCAAAGGAAAACTCTTAATAGGCTTAATTGAACTTCTGGGCATTCAGCCAAGAGCATTTCACACCTTGTAAAAGTGTTGCAAGCTAGATAAAAAATCCACTCAGCGCTTGCAAGAGAGACAGCCATTGAGAAAATCAGATAACATAGCCACTG